TGCGCATGCGCCAAGCTGGCTGGCTGGTCGCGAGCCTCTGCACAGAGTGGTGCTGCGCCAGGGCGCTTGCATGGGCGTGGCCCCCGAGGCTCAGGATCGCCCCTGAACTGGGGAGCCTGTGCTGGTGCTCCAGCCCCCCCCTTGCTGCTCCACCATGGGGCTCCAGTACTCAAAATGTGCCAGGCTGGGTCCCCCTAGGCTCTGGTGTGCAGGGGGAATGTGGGGAGTGTCTTTCTCCTTAGCTGGGGGCTATGCCAGTGAAGGGTTTTTGTCTGCAGCCCCTGACTGTTTTTTCTGTGCGTCAGTGGCTCCCCACTCAAAAAAGGATCCCCACTCCTGCTTTACAGCCACCAGCCCAGTGCTGATGTGGCCTCCCAAGTTGTGTATTAAAGTTGTGTATACACCCACTAAACAGTTGTGTATTAAAGTTGTGTATACACCCACTAAACAGTTGTGTATTAAAGTTGTGTATACACCCACTAAACAGTTGTGTATTAAAGTTGTGTATACACCCACTAAACAGTTGTGTATTAAAGTTGTGTATACACCCACTAAACAGTTGTGTATTAAAGTTGTGTATACACCCACTAAACAGTTGTGTATTAAAGTTGTGTATACACCCACTAAACAGTTGTGTATTAAAGGCAAATACAAGGCAGCCTTGCACCATGAAAGCAAAGTTAAAGCAACTCGGGGGAGGGGCGGTGAGACATAGCAAGCTACCAGACCCACTGTTTGGCTACTACAGTGTCCAGAAACATCTGACAGAATTGAAGAAAAAAGCATTTTTTAACCAACATGAGAGATTCCAAATACAAGTATCTTCTCTAGTGCTGGGTTTCAGTTTTCCGAATATGTGGCACAAATAACTTCTGGACTATTGTAATCAGCTATCCTGGGATACTTTTTGCTACCCTTTTGTGTTTAGGGGTATGCCTGTCTTAGGTGACTCAACCGGCCTCTTTACTGACTCAAGTATAACAAGTTTAAAGGCTCAAAAATGTCTGAGAGAACATACTTTGTGCTTCTGTCATGCTTTTCATACAAGGTTCTTATGCAACTTTACAAATCATGAAGTGTCTCACACACTGCTGTGAATTAGGGAAACAGTAGTATTCCCATTTTTCAGATGAGGACTGAGGGCTCTTCTTACCATAGTGGCACAGATGCACTGCTGTAGCATTTCAGTGTGGACCCTACCTATATCATCAGGAGGGTTTCACCCATTGGGCAGATAATCCACCTCTCCAAGAATTCTTCTGTTGACCTAGTGCTTGTCTACATGCGGACTTAGGTCAGCTTAACTATTCCTAGGCCTGCTGACAAAAGCAATTCTGGGCCCCAGGACCAAACAATCAATGTCCCCCCCCTCCTTTTCCTTCAGCTGGAGAGAGAGTGTGTGTGGGGAGGGTGCAATATATATATATAGGGATGAATTCTGCCTTACCTATCAATAGGGGGCCCTGGCAACTAATGTAAAATATGCCAAGGAAATGCTCTAAATTATGCTGGAGACTGGACTGGGTCCCACTATATCCCAGAATACAGGAGGCGCAACGCAGAATGGACTGCAATGACCATCAGTGCAACTATGATCTGATGGCTTTTTGGTGGGTGTGCTATGTGAAAAGAGTTGATGCTCTCAGTTCTGGTTGTAGTGAAGCAAGAATTCGCATCACTAAAACCAGCTTCCTAGTTGATTCTCTTGGCAGTCTTAGCAAGGTTTGAATGGTCAAGGAGACTGACTGGAGGCTTTGAATCATTTGCTAATCCAGATGTCACCCTTAAAAACAAAACTAAATATCTGTTGCTTTTGAATACTTGTTGTTTATATAGTGTTACATTATTTGCTTTGGCAAAGGTCATGAAGCTGAAACACTGAGAAGTTGCATGAATAGAAGATGCAGTCTTCAAAATTTCATTTACTTTTCCATTTCCGTTACTGGTTGCTCTGGACTAGCATAGGGAAATTGGGACAAATTCAATTAGCAGGTAAGAAATGTATCCTTCAGTGGCGCAGTTATTATTTATTTGTAGGAGGCTAATAAAAAAAAGGGGGGGGGTGGAGGATGTGATTTTGCACCTGTTACCTGAAAGCTTTTAGTAAATGTGCAGGCTGTCAGTTTATTATGTATCCCATTAATTAACTCCCACACATGAAGTGTCCTAAAGAAGCAGTTGCAGAATTGAGACCTCTTCGTGCAGGCCTGGTCTATGTACAGCCCACAGGCTGGATCTGGTCCACTAAGCCACCTGATCTGGCCCATGGACACAGTGTGGAGCTCCAGGCAGGCTCCCTAGCTTGCGCCACAGCCCAAAAGTGGTGGTAGGTCCGTTTCTCTTTAAAAACTGAATGGGGGAAGGCTTCAGACACTGCTCTCGCCCCCAGCACAATCCCATTGGCTGGCTTCTGGCCATACACTGGCCAGTGGGAGCTGCCTGTTTGAATAATGGGCAGCACACAAAGCACCATGCCTCCCCCCTCTCCTTCAGCTCAGTTATTCACACAAGCATGTGTAGGTGCAGGTGCAGGGCAGGCAGGCTGGTTGATCTACTGGCTGATAAGTCTCCTGGCCAGAACCTGCCTCTCACACCCCAGACCCTCTCTTCCCCAACCCTCTGCCCCCCCACTCAACATATCCAAACCCTCTGACCCTCTCCTGCATCCATATCCCCTCCCAGATCTGGCATCCCAATCCCCTTTCCCAGATCACAATCCCCTCCTACCCTAGGTCACTACCCAAACTCCTGCACCCCAGTCCCCTCCCCTAGATCACAAACCAAACCCCTGCACCCCAGTCCTCTGCCCTAGGTCACAACTGCCTCCTTCACCCAAACTCCCTCCTGCACCCCAATACCTTACCCCAAGCTCCCTTCTGCACCCAACCTCCATCCCAGACCCTCTACCTCCTCCATTAATATCATGGAAGTGTGCGGCCCTCGACCACTTTCCAAAATCTTGGAGTGGTCCCCTGTCAAAAATTATTGCCCACCCCTGCGGTAAAGGAAGGGATAGCATTTTTTCTAGTCGATCCCAGTGTGCGTTATAAACATTACCAACTCTATCAACCGGTGCACTCTGCGCCAACTAATTGTTATGCACCTTAGAAGGATTAATCTGGAGGTAGAATAAGTTAGGTCACCACCAGGCTTTTTCCTTTGGGCTTTGCTGAAGGCTGGCCTGCAGAGTGTCTGAGATCACAGGAGACATATTCAGAAGCCCTGTTAATACTGATCCACAGTCCTGCTGCCATGTCACAGTCTATCAACCGGTGCACTCTGCGCCAACTAATTGTTATGCACCTTAGAAGGATTAATCTGGAGGTAGAATAAGTTAGGTCACCACCAGGCTTTTTCCTTTGGGCTTTGCTGAAGGCTGGCCTGCAGAGTGTCTGAGATCACAGGAGACATATTCAGAAGCCCTGTTAATACTGATCCACAGTCCTGCTGCCATGTCACAGATCAAGCAGGTTTGCAGGAATTTTAGCAGGAACTTCTCCTCCTGGCCAACAGGGACAGCTATAGTGGAGGAATTTCAGACCTCCAAACGGCCTCTCCCCTTGCTCTTGCAGCTCGCCTGTGACAGGATGCAAACCAACATGGAGCACTTGGAAGGAGGAGGTGTTCTTGTTGGCAAGGGAGCCGGGAGGAGTAGGGAGGAGCAAAGAGGAAGGGGTCAAGGGGAAGCTAGCTGGGAAAAGGAGGTCAGTCTTGAGACACAGGATGGGTGTTGGGTTGAAAGACTGCGAGCACCTTGGGGGTTAGAATAAAGTAGGAGCTGAAAGGACAGGCTAGGGTGGAGAACACTAATGTAGACAAGCAAAACATGGGGAGGTAGCAAATGCTAGAAGAGGGGAGGATGAGTCAAACTCCTCAATGCAGGCTACTTCAGGAACTGCTAATCCTGCCTCATCAAAGGTCTACTATCACCACTCATCTCCACAGCAATCCCAGGCTTCTGCCAGCTTCCTAGTCCTTGTGTCACTCTAATAATCGCTGCCCCTGGCTCTCTTACTCCTCCCTTCATCATTCTCCTCCCTCCCAGCTATCTGTGGCTCCTCCACACAACACTCTCCCAGGTGAAATTCTGTGGCTTGAGATACACAGGAGATCATAATGCTCCTTTCTGGCTTTAAAATCTATGAATCCTCTGCCTGCTTCTCATCACTCTTGACTGTCAGCTCAGCCCTGAATCTCAAAGTCCTGAATCTGTAATGCTGTGATGTCCTCTTCAGCAGGTATGCAAAGGAGGTGGTAGTCACCTGTTCTGTGTTTTACCCCCAGGTTTGTGTGTTAATGCACAGAAGGATATGGAGAGCAAGAACTCTGCAAAGATGTATAGAATTCCTCGGGGGAAGGGGCCTTACTCTGTTGGCTGCACGGATCTGATGACTGGTCACACAACTCAGGTATGAAAGCCAAAAGGTCCTCTCACTCCTTTATTTTTACATAAGCCATGAGTCCAACATGGCAGCCTTCATCATATTATGAGATACTTATTAAATGGAAGCTTCCCCTGGTTCTGATAAGTGAAAATTCACAGGTGCAGAGGAGCAGGACAAAGCCTGCTTCAGCTCTGAGGCATTTTATTTTTTGTGTACAAAATATTTCATTTTCATTAATTCTGTAAGAGTAATGACATAAGATGACTACTGTGGCACAAGTATCACTGGAAGTGTAAGGCTGTAATGACAGAAATATACTGTAAATTGATGGATTTTGTCAGATACTAGGATGCAGGTTTTGTAAACTGGATTTGACAGATAAATATGTCCAGATACTGTATATACACCATCCATCTCTAAGTGCAATTTAAGAGCCTGATCCAGCTTTCCCAGCTAAGGCAATCTTCCTTAGTCCAGTTCCTCAAAGTTATTTAGGCTTGTAACTTCCACTGAATTCATATAGCTCACCATAGTGAATTCTTTGAAATGAGGCAGGAAAACTCCTCCTTACCGTTCCATTTGGCACAGTGAAAATGGGGAATGTGTTAGGTCATGGCTAATTAACTTTAGAAGCCTTGGGGGCCACAATGATACTCACAGCACATGCTGACGGCTGTAGCTTAAGTGTAGTTGCATATACATGCAAAAATATATATGCAAATATATGCAAATAGCTTCTTTTACACATATGGGCACGAATACAAAGATTAAGGCAAGACTACACATCAGGCCCCATTTAAGTCAGTTCTGCTGATATTAATAAAATGCAATATTCACCCAATTTCCACCCATATGACAGCACTTTTAATGAGCAATGACAGAAGACCATTATATTGACTCACCATTGTGGAGCGTGTTCCCAGTGGAGGCCATGTTCAAAGGATCCCACCTTCAAGCCGCATGTTGAGCCCCATGTAAACTGAAACCACACTGTGGGCCTGCAAACAAATGGGCCATATGTTGAGTAGCTCTGTGTTAGGGTGACCATATTTCTCATAGAAGAAACAGGATAACCCCAGCCACTTGCCTGAGGGCCTTCTCCCTGCCCCTAGTTTGCTGTCCTTCACTGGAAGCCTGCCACCCATCCTCCCAAATTGTCACTCATCACTGGAACCCTCAAAAGGCTATCACCTGTGGCTGGAACCCTTTTCCCCATGTTGGAAGGATGCCTCTCCCACCAGCTTTGGGTCTAGGTGGTTGGAATCTCTGCTTGTCCCCTCTGCACCATACCCCACATTTTTGACAAAAGTGAGCATTTTTTTTCATTGTTCTTGCCAACTGATTGAATCAGGCAAAAGCACACGGGACAAATGCCCCTTTTTGGAAGAAGGGAAAAAAGGGAGAGAGAACTTAAAAAAGGGACCGTGCTGTGCTAAACAGGCAGTATGGTCATCCTCGTACTTTGCCATCCAATAGAATGAGCCACAGGTGCTGCCCCATATCCTATGGGATATGCAGAACCATCCCACAGAGCCCCCATGCCTCTGGATTCCTGATACCTGCTTCAACATCCAAACTTCCTGGTAACTTGGCTGCAATAGAGGTCCACCACCCACGTCTCCAGTGACTGTGTAGGAATGGGATTTATATTTTTATTTTAGATTTAATAATGTAGTAATGTATACATTACTATACATTAACTATACATTACAGGCAGTCCCCGGGTTACGTACAAGATAGGGACTGTAGGTTTGTTCTTAAGTTGAATCTGTATGTAAGTCGGAACTGGCGTCCAGATTCAGCCGCTGCTGAAACTGACCGCCA